TTTTTCTGACTGCACTGGTGTGAACAGAGCACCAGAAATCCCATTGGAAAGCATTGTGATGTAGTTTTGATGCAGCTGCTAAACTGGACGGACTGCATCTGGTGTGAACTAGCCCTAAATGTCCTTGTCCAGAGCCTGTTAAACATCAGACAAGATCACCGGGTATGCATGACATATGCATGACATATGCATGTTCCCTCAGCATTTTACCCAGGGAAGCATTTATCAGACTACGCAGGGTGGAGGTGCGATAATCTGGAAGGGACTATATATCATTTCGTTACTACCTAAATATTGCCAGTCTTCATCGGACTTGGATGTTTTTCCATTTAGAAACATAACCCTGTGTTGAGTGGGTTGATCAAGAATTAGGTTGTGAAGAGCCATGGAAAGCAGCTTAGGTGCCAAAGGAGTGCTGTGACAAATGTGATCCCAAATTCTCAGTTGGGCAGTAGGGTGTTACCTATAAGACCCAATGTCTAATCTATATACATCTGAAATATTCCCTGGGAGGGAGCCTGAGGATCGATTCCCCTTCCAACAAGTTTTAAAAACACATGAAATGATGTGATGTCCACCAAATAAACACGACACCTTAAGAATCAAGTACAGTTTCAACTTCCCCTAATGGGAAGTTTGCTACGTTGTGCTTTAAAAGAATACTCCCAGGGCTGTTTCATACATTATACCATCCGATTTACACAATTTATTTTTCTCTGTAACGTTATGTAGCATTTATGAATACAATTACCATCATCCTTATTCATTAAAGAGCAGTAGCCCACAGCAACCAAAGTTAATAGTTCATTGATCTAAATGCTGGACGTTATGGGTTGCAGCAGCTTGCATGCCATCACTGTTGTCTGTTCTTCCTTGTGAAATTAGCCTGATACTGTTGCATTAATATTCTTCTGGGTTCCACCTGCTATTTTGTAGTAAAGGAAAAATGTAAAGCAAAAATGAGTTTCCCTAATTCTGATTTTTAAAAACAATGCCTTTATTTTGTGTTAAAATAAGCCTATAAGAAACATAAGCATTGCCTACGCATTAACAATATACACAAGCAACGTCAATATACTGACAATTTATTTTTCATACAGAAAGTTTATTTTCTTTCCAAACAGTGCAATAATTTAATTATTATAAAAATACACACAAATAATAGGCAGCTACAGAGCAAAACAATGTAACCTTGGTAAGTGCAGAGACAGTAGACAATACAAATGACTTTAGCCTCTCGAAAGTCACGCATCTTTATCTCTTACAAAGCGATTCACAAAGCCAGATTGACAGAAAGCCAAGTGACTTACACGAAATATACCAATGACGCTGGACCTTTACTGTCAGCTAGTGTCAGTGATACAAGAATGTAACAGATTGATGACACCATATACTTGTGGCACTACATATCCAAGTTTCTTAAAATTTAGCAATCTCTGCTCTTTATAAAAAGTGCAGTTTTTAAGGGACAGTCCCCTCAATACCAATATTTGAGTTAGGTCACATAAGTGGGTGGAATTATTCAGCTTCCTATATTTCTCAGACTCCAGCAGCAAGGTATCCTCCTTTGCATTATGAGGTACAATTAACTGCTATGACAATTTCTAATTTCTTCTCCATTATGAAGAATACAGCTGGAGATGTCAACCACCAAGGCAGATAAGAAGTGGGAAGGACTAAAAGAGAGCCTGTCCCAAGCTTAAAAATTGCAGGTAAAGAAAAAAAAAAAACCACAAACAAAATCAACTATCCAACCCTTCAGTGTTTTGCTATCATTAAATGATTTTTCATTCACTTGCAATGTGCCTTTGAACTAAACAAAATTTGACTACTCCAGGAAGAGTCAATTCCCAAGCAAAGCTCCCTCCCTCCCCCTGGGAGTGTCTAATTACTCTCTGTGCTGGTCCACCACCTCTGCCCCTCTCCTCACGGCCCTGCATAGCAGTGAAGGGGAATACTACAGAGTGTCACTTGAGCAACAGCCAAGTTTGCTGAAATCACCTTCAAGATGGCAGCTCCCAGCAGAAATCTCAGGACTTTTGCATATCTACAATATACTCTGAATGGTCATTAACATCTTAATGATCAGAAAACAAAAGGGAACTATGGAAACAATTAAATGTACATTCTACCAAAGCTCCACCAGAAACAAAAGAGAACAAAATTTTTGTATTAATAAACTATCATCCAAATAGACTTCCAGATCCTTGAAAAGTGGAGAATCAACGGATCAGGGGAAGATGGGTAAATTATGTCAGCAGTTCTGAAGTTTGTGCTACACGGTGATTTTCAGTAGCTCGGTCTCCATACTAAAAGCACTAAAGATTGATCACTTCACAGATGGGACAAAATGCCCCTTATTGCTATATACTACTTATGAAGTGACACAACAATTTATCTTGCATGATTGCACAGTGCTCAGATTATGTGGGATTGGTCACCACTTCATGCTACTCGTGTAACTTATACCAAAGGAGGCAATGTGATCCATATGTTGAGCGACTGAATACAAGTCTTAGAAAACCATCTCTGGATCATTAGAAGCATAATTAAACTGTCCAGAGGCAAGCTCTACTTTCCTTTCCCCCATTTCTTGGAACAAAGGTCTTATTTAAAGTTTAGTTTTGTTTGTCCCACAAACACTTAGCAGCATTTTTTTCTGACATTGCTATAATAAAACAAAATGGCAACAATTTGCAATCAGCAATAAGAAATACAAATAACACAGGGCTAGCGAGATAAGGCCACAAAGAAATGACTTAACTTGTCACGTGCTGTTTCACAAGAGATAATAAAAGGATGTTTAGACTCACTGTAAAATTATTTCCTTGAGTCCACTGAGAGACACAGGAAGTCATATACTGTCAGTCCACAGCTGCATTGGACACAGACAAATAAAAAAACAAGGAATAAGCCTGCTGCCCAAGACCATGGAAAATAATGGCCAACAACTAGAGAGAAACTACTCCATATGGGAGGCAGCACCAAAGCTCTAGAGGCAAAAAGCTCCTAACTAGTCTTATGTAAAGTTTATGCCCAGGCATTTTTGTTTTGTTTTGGATGGTGTGAGCAAGGATATGAAAACCAGTCACGTTTTTCCTGCTCACTGGGGCTCCCATAGAGATTTCCTCTCACTTGCTGTCACAGAGTCACCAGATAAGTAAAGATCCAACTTCTAATCCTTCACTAAAAAAGTTGTGGCTGGACATACATTGCATTGTCTACTTCGTAGGTGAAGGCAGCCTTGAGTCACAAAAAGCAAAGTTTACAATTGGATGAATACATAGTTCATTAGCTTTACCTTGCCCAAAAAAGGCTAACGAATGTGCAATGTATATATCTAATGGACACTGACTAGAAATTTGAGGAATGTTAACCCACAACTAAATTCTCAATAGAAAATGAATTAGCAGCCTGTCCCTAAATAATAGTAAACAGTATTCAATCAAAAAACTACTTTTTATGGTATTATTAACCTTTGCATCCCCCCCCCCCCCCCACAAGGGTTAAGTGCTCATTTTTGTCTAGGTGCTGAAAAAAAAGTTATACTCACCAGACCATCCGAGCGGACTCCCTGATGCGCGTCTCCTCCTCACTGCACAAACGGACTGCTTCTCGGCGTCCTCACATCTATACACAGTCTATGCACAGTGTATAGAGTGTGATGACACCTTAGACCGCAACAGCAGAGGGGAAGAGACCGCGGCCTAAGAACAAGCCAGCTCGGATAGTCTGGTGAGTATAACTTTTTTTTAGCACCTAGACCAAAACGAGCACTTAGCCCCACTACAATGGTTAATAAAAAAAATTCCTGAAGTTCTTCTTTAATAAACTGCCAAGTTTATAAAGTAAAAGTTTAATTTCCATGTATTTTTGGCAGGGCACATCTAAGAGCCAGGGAATATATATCTCCATTAAGAAACCTCTAAATATATATCTAATATATCTAATATATAGAAGGATGGTGAGAGTCTAGCTGTAGTGGTAAATTACAATGTGGTCCAAACAGGCAGCTGTCGGGCCTTCGGCTCAACCAAATCTAATTTATCTGCAGTAGTACCCGGATTGCAACAAATTTCAGCATGGGAACCCATAAAAAGAAAAAACCTGAGCACCCAACTATAGTCTGCCACTGGCCTCCAATATACCATAGTATATTGGAGGCCAGTGGCAGACTATAGTTGGGTGTATTTAAAAACAGGGCCTACAATTAATACATCATCTCAAACATCTCTTCTGAGAAGCCATTAAACTTTTTTTACCTGGACTTATCAATGTAATCATGTTTACTTTTGTCAGCTTGTGTTTTGGGTTTATGGGCCCTTTACTTTATTAGAAAGGACACCCACAAGAAAAAAAAAAACACTTTATTCAATCTCTGTCATTCAGACAGGTTTGGATGATAGTGCAGGGATATCAAAACACCCCCATTCATAAGGGAGACTGACTGACTATGTTTGGCTCACCTTCTACTGTTTCCTACTTGAAAAGCTGAGATTGTGATCGAGATATCGGCTAGCAGCTGGCTGCATTATGATTTTCTCACCTTTGGACTTAACTTTGGCAAATCATTTTTAGGCGCAGTCCAAGATACTGGGACACTCACTGAACTTTTCGAATTAGATTTCATTGAAAAATGTATGAATCCTGGGTGAAAGTTGTGTAAAAAAATGACAAATAGACACCACAGTCTGCTATATTAACCATTAGACAGAAATCACATGCTGTGACTCAGACTGGGCAAAATGGTTTGTGAATCTAAAGAAATGCAATTTTAATAACACACAGAAATCTTACTAAGCAGAACTAATTTGTGTTTGGAGTTAGACTTCGGAAAGGTTAAAAGGTTGTCCAAAACATAACAGCTCTTCTGATCCGAGACATCACACTTCAGGTAATGTATGTTGGTCTAGTAAACTGAGTTAAGCGGTTACTTACTTACCAACCTAATGACATAATGAGTCATAAAACCACCTGCATTCCACATAACACATATTAGTGAAGTTACCTGGATGCATTTCTATTCAGAAACATTAGAATCTGCACTCATCTGCCGCTTTATGGACTGCAGTTCATGTGATATTAGGAGTCTGCTGTGCTTTGTACAGGGAGATTGTTAGCTTAGTCTGCACTGCAAGGGAAGGCACGGCAAAGATATGGTCCAATTGGCTTGTCTTCCCTTCCTTTTCATTCCTGATCTACCTCTGAGCCCCTTCTCCTTTCTCTTTTTTGTCCTTTGGGCTCTTAGATTTTGCATCTTTAGGAGAAAGCAATTTAAGAACTTTCATTGGTTTGAGTTTTCCTTTCTTCTTCTTTTGAGGATGTGCATGAAAATCTGAAAGAATAGAACAAGGAATGAGATGCAGATAAAGGAACATTATTAAGTAAAATCTATGTATACACTGGTAGTTTAATTCTATTAGATGGGAGTGACTGGTGGCAGCATATTAAACAGAACTCAAGGCAAACAGCTAAATACCAACAATACTATTGAACTTCATGTCTATAAACTGTTTTACCTGCCAAAGGACTTATAACTCAACCAGTCTTGTAATTGACCAACCTCTGCCACGCTGCATAGACAGGCATGACACCATTAATTCCTATTCAATGTATTATTTCATGGGGATAGATGGTGCTTTTGTACATATTTCTTTATTTTGGTTAGGACTAGAGAAAATACCTTTAAACCATTTTCACTTTTTAAATCAAGTAAATGTGAAATACTGCCTGTGAATTCTATGCTCCATGTATTTATATTACTGTACGAATGTTAAATAAAAGAGAACCAGAAAATCTGCCCCATTAATGTGTGCTAATACAACCCATCTAGAAATCATTCCTGAAATATTTAGTTCATATTTTGTTTCTTACCTTTCTTTTGGATCATGGCTTCTATTAATTTATCTTCTTCTTCCTCCCTAAAGAAAGTAAAGTAAATATGGTGGATCTGATAAATGTATTAATAGGAATTGTGTTTTCATTCTTTATTATTGCCATCTGTAAGACAGCATGAGGATATAGCCTGAAAGTCTTCACTTTGAATGAGCAAGGATTGAAACGGCAATTAACGGTTTTATAATCACAGAAGTTAGAAATGACTGTAGTGATGTAATGTGGATCACATGATAGCTCACACCAAGAAGAGGACTTACACATGTAAAATATTTGCTTTGAAAACAAAAACATAAAATAAATAAAAGCAAAATACCTGAAATGTATTCAGTGTTTTATACTGAAATTACTGGATATCTTGGTTTTTAGAACCTGCATGATTTACAGATGTGATTTCACCATGGCAGAATAATGCTGTGGTGAGGTATGCATTTCTGACCACACAACTCTGTGGGGATCACATCAGCTTAATTAAAGATGTACTCGGGACACACTAAAAGTTAATTATCTGGATTGCAGCATGCCTACCTGCCTCCCTCAACTTACATATATCCTAGAGTGGTACTGCGTTGCATAGCACTGGTAAAAAGGTATCCTCCATTCTGGTGGTAGAGACCAGTCACCACTGCATGCTTTCTGCTCTCCTTCCTTTCCTTCCCCTCTGCAGTTCTAATAAGGCAGTCCTGACCCCATTGTGTCCGTGCTCCCGGCAAAGGGCAGAGATCTGAAGTGGGAGCTGGAGCACTGTATCCAGGCTCTTCCTGCTCAGCCTATCTCCGTCCTCTGCCTCCATGGTTATTATATCTCCCCCCCACCCATTTGCCTGTGCCACCCTTCCACCTTGCCCAAGTGTCATCAAAGTATCTTTGATGACATCTTAGGGGCTATGAAGAACAAAAACGCAACGCTACGACAAGGTAAGTAATAAAGTAAGGAGAAGTGGGACCCTCAGCAGGAGGAAGGGAGGGTCCCATTTACATCAGCTGGGCTGAACAAGAAAAATCAACCGATTCCCCCATTCATGCTAAAGTGTATCCTGACCGCTATTGCATTAAGTAGACAGTGGCTACATATGACTTGATGCACTCATTGTTCAGCCAACAATTTTCCACACAGTTCCTTTGATTTATCAGTGAACATTTGTGGAGCCAAGTGGTGCCACAGGGCCAGCCACAGCTCATATTATGGCAGATTCATCAGGAATCAGTAGGCAATCAAGCATCTATGGCCAGCTTTAGGTACTGATTTGAGGATCCTTTTAAAAAGGGGCAGAAGGACCACTAAATTAAGCCATTCACACAACTTATAAATAGTAGATGTTAAATTATATAACATAACCACCTAGCACTGTAACATACTTCTTGAAAAGGTTTTCTTCATGTTGATACAAATACAAATAAAAACCTGTTTTGTGTAATTCTTAATATAACACAAGTTCAGTTAGCACTTTTCACACTGAATACCAACATTGTAATATACAGTGGCTTGCAAAAGTATAATGGATGGATTCTTTGGGGGTTTATCATTTGATTTACACAACATGCCTACCACTTTGAAGATCCAAAATATTTTTTATATTAAAACAAACAATTTAACAACATTTAAAAAACATACTTAATATTTACATAATTATTCAGCCCAAACCCCCCCACACCCCACTCCAACTCAATACTTTGTAGAGACACCTTTTGCAGAAATTACAGCTGCAAGTCTCTTGGCACTTGGCACTTCTAGCCACTGGGATTTTTGCCCATTCTTCAAGGCAAAACTGTTCCAGCAACTTCAAGTTGAATGGTTTTCGCTGATGTACAGCAAATTTCAAGAAATGCCACAGATTCTCAATTGGATTGAGGTCTGGGCTTTGACTAAGCCATTTCAAGACATTTAAATGTTTCCCCTTAAACCACTTGAGTGTTGCTTTACCAGTATGCTTAGGGTCATTTGCCAGTCCCTGCCGATGAAAAACATTTAAATGATAATATTCTTGGGGTGATGAGGTCTTGGGTTTGCGCCGGACATGGTGTTTTCCTTGAATGCAAAAAAGCTCCATTTTAATCTCATCTAACCTAATAATGGATTTAATGGTGCTTAGTGGGATGTTCAAAGTTTCAGATTTTTTTTTTTTTATATAACCAAATGCTGATCTGTATTTCTCAATAACTTTGTCCCTGACCTGTTTGGAGAGCCCCTTGCTCAGTGGTGTTGCAGACTCTGGGGCCATTCAGAACAGGTGTATATATACTGAGATCATGTGACACTTAGATTACACACAGGTGGTCTTTATTTAACTAATGATGTGGCTTCTGAAGGTAATTAGTTGCACCAGATCTTATGTAGGGGCTTCATAGCAGAGGAGGTGAGTACATATGCACGCACCACTTTCCAGTTTTTTTTTTAACAAGTTATTTTCTTGATTTCCCCATTTTGGACTATTATGTGTATGTCCATTACATGTAATCCAAATCAAAATCCATTTTAATTCCAGGTGGTAATGCAGCAAAATAGGAAAAATGCCAAGGGGGTGAATACTTTTGCAAGCCACTGTAAATATCACGTAGTTCGAAAACACAGAATCAATGATTAAGGAATGTAATGTCAACAGCCAAAAAGATGGGATTACTTCCAGTAAGACTTTAATAGACAATTCTGGGTTAAATGAAACCTGTATAAAGAAAGTATGGAGGCTGCCGCCATTGCTGACCTCTGCTTATGAAAATGCTTGATTAGTTGATACCTCGCTAATCCAATGGCTTCTGTACTTTATAAGTCACTGAAGTACACAAAAGAGGAGTTCTGACTTCGCTCTGAATATCATAATCCTTATACTCGTTCCAGGTCAGTGTTTCCAAGTGCTGAAGCCAGAAACAGTCAGGCAACTAGCATATTCAGACAAGCATTGGCTGCCTCCATGTTTGTCTAACCACAGGTTTCCTTTAACTGTTCTATACACAGTGGGGTGTACCTTTGCTTGTCTTCGTCCATGCACTTTACTATGGCATTTCTCTGCTCAATGAGTGTCACCAGTTCTTGCATTAGTACCTGCTCCCTCTGCTTATCCTCATCCAGCCAGTCTTTCTCTGTGGGGAATTACATATGTATTAGTGAAATGGAAACTCACACTGGTACCTTTATTGGGCTCTTGCAGAATTACACCCCTATGTCTGAAAAATCATACTTGTAGTAAATCTTACTTACCCACAGAACCCACTTGAAAATATCTGCAACTTCTCCAGTGATCTACTCACCTCAATTATTGTTTTAAGGGTTTCCCCAATTACATCAGCAAAGCCAACACATGATTCTGACCGCTATAGCAGCAATAGCAGAGAGGGGAAGTGACTGATAGAGGAGCATCATATGTTAACAATAAGGTGGTGCCGGTGACTATTTTTCTATACATTAAGTATCCTGAACATCTAAAACTGACAGTCATTTTTGGGGAAGCTATACTAAGTTGCACAATCTACAAAAGAAAGAATGCAGGAATATAGCTTTACATACACTATCCCATACATACCTGGTTTATTGAGGAGACAGCGAAGCTCATACTCTACATCTGCCTGACGCTGCTCTAAGTCTTGCTGTTTGGTCCTACAGTAATAAAATTTACAATATTAAAAAAATAATAAAACATTACAGGCATAGAGTTCCTGTAACTTTCTTCCCGACTATTTTTTTACACAGCACAACAAGCGGCCTTCTATATCCCAAATAGGATGTTAAAAAAAGTATTACAATTTAAGTAATAGGTGAGTTAACAGTGCCCAGTGTTATTATACACTATATATATACCTAAATAAACTTACGTGTATACAAGCTCAGACTCCCTTCTCACAAGAGCATGCTTCTCCTGAATCAGCTTGAACCAGTCTACCAACAAACGGTCCTCTTCTGAATCTGTGTGAACAGGACACAATTACACATTGGTCTCTTCATTAATAGTGTTATTCAGCACTCATCTCTCTCCTTACCATCCTCCATCCTTCGTAGTTTGTGTTCAAGTTCTACCCCACGTCTTTCTAGCTCATCCAGACGCAGCTCAATCTCCTCCATTTCCATTTGAATCTCATGTTCTGGGATGTAGTCATCAGCCTGAACCTGGTGGTGGAAGTACACAAGTTCATGAGCGTAAAAAAAAATGATGAGCCACTGAACATATACTAAAAAGACTTGTATATGTTACAAGTCTGATGATCAGTTCCTCTCAACCAAACAATTGTTAATAAATGTTCTGCTACTTACATAGGATTTTGTCTTACCTGTACAATCCTTTTCTTGAAGTATATTACAGGACACAGGACGTATTCAGGAACATAGGGTTATGCTGCCCCTTCAGGAGATTGGAAATTGGAAAAGCAAAGCTGTAAGGACAGCCCTGCCACTCCCTGCAAGTCTTAGTTTTGTAAGCAAGCAATAATAGGGGTGGATCACAAGAGAAACACAGGGGAGGAACTGGTGTCCTGTAATACGCTCCAAGAAAAGGATTACACAAATAAGAAAAAAATCCTATTCTCTTTATCGTACATTACAGGACACAGGATGGTATTTAGGCATGTCCCTTAGCCATACAGTTGATGGGTGGGAAACACAGCAAATTAAATGCCAACAGGCACAGGTAAACACAAGTTAACAGAAAGGGCTTGAGGGAAAAGGTTTTTCAAAAAACAAAACACGGAACAGAGAAAAGACATTCATCTCTTAAGGATACCAGCAAGAAACTGAGGCTTGCTGGGAGTGGGAATTATGTATGGCTGTCCTAACAGCTTTGCCAGTGTCCAGTCTCCTGAAGGGGGAAGCATAACCCTACATTCCTGAATACCATCCTGTGTCCTGTAAGGTATGTTAAAGAAAGGACATTTTCAGAATACTTGTTTAAGAGTATGTGGGAGCCGCTTAGCTCAGTAGTTTTTTTTTCTTCTAATTTCTTTATTTTAAAGTTGTAGATTCCAGCAAGTAGACATTAGGCATCAAGATACAACATATATCAATTGAATGAACACACAAACAAAATATGACACATTCGAAATAAAGCATGTTGAAAACCATTTTTCAAAGTTTCCTCTGTTGTCCTTTCAGTGCGTCATTGGTGTCTAGGTTTTCCACCGCCCAACTGCATTAATATAGCAGCTTGTTGGGAGAATGTACTATTTATAAGAATGTTATTTTTCAACACAAAACAGTGGGGCACAATGTAGAAAGAATCACACTAGGAGGGAATCACAGGGCAGAGGGCAGGAGGCGCTTAAGTTGCATAAAGAACACCAGTTCAGCCATTAGCAAGGAGGAGGCTGGAGTGTGCAGGAAACTTTATGGTTCAATTAACTTTCTCCATGAACTTTGGCAAACTATAAGCCCACAGTTAGTGGGCCGGTGGACTTCCAAAACAAGGGAATACACATTCTTGTCACATAGACAAGAGCTGGATATCATCTCTATAGTAGGAACAGACTGCACTTAAAAGGGGAGGGTGCAGCTCTGTTGGGAAGGAGGTGGTAAAAAGGTTAGAGGAGCTTCTAAACTAGATTCTGGGGGGAAGAGATCAATAAGGACTGAGCCAGGCAATAACCTAAGATTGATTGGGAGGAATAGGAAAGTAGAGGGGGGATGCACAAGATTTGGAGGCATGCAGCAGTAGCCAGATTATGGGCAACATAAAAATAGTAAGCACAAGCGAAAACGTGAAATGGATGTTCACCAATGCTACCCTGTTTCCCCGAAAATAAGACCTAGTACTATTTTTGGAAATTGCTAAAATATAAGACCTACCCCGAAAGTAAGACCTAGTTATGACCATTCCCAGGGCCGGTGGTGGCATAAGTGGGAACTTGATGAGCCGTGGGAATGATACATGTAGACTTTTCTACATGATTAAGTGTGGATTGTTGTACATTAAAAAAAGAAATAAGACCTACCTCGAAAATAAGACCTATTGTGTTTTTTTGAGCCAAAAAAAAAATAAGACAGTGTCTTATTTTCAGGGAAACACGGTAGAAGCCTGTCAAACAAATTGGAGGAATTAGAACTCTTAGTACTGAGAGAGGAATATGATCTTGTGGGAAAATCAGAAACTTGGCTAGATGGCTCACATGACTGGGCAGCATCTATCAGGGTTTATTCTCTATTTAGAAGGGACAGGGAAGGAAATAGAGAGGGAGAAGTATGCCTGTTTGTCATAAATGACCTTACAGTGAATGTAAGGGAGGATATTGCACAGAAAAACCGGGATCACGCTGAGTTACTATGGATAGAAGTGGAAATGAAGGATAAGAAAGGTAAACTACAGGTGTGAATATGCTAAAGGCCCCAGAACGCTGGGGAGGAGGAGGAGACTCATCTATTGTCACAGATAGAAGTAGCGGGAAGGCAAGGCAATGTCATAATAATGGATGACTTTAATTACCCTGATATAGATTAAACTAATGAAACAGCAAATTCAAGAAGGGTCCGTCAATTCTTGAACACTCTCAATGATAATTTTATGGGACAATTAGGGGAAACCCCTATGAGGGAAAATGCTCTGCTAGATTTATTAATTACAAATAACACAGAGCTGATTACAGACGTGGAAATCAGGGAACAGTGACCACAGAATGATAACGTTCACTGTAAACTTAAGCAAACGCCGTAAACACATACTATGCGTCATAGATTGGGATTTAATCTTCCTGAATATGAGTACTGAGGAGAAAAAGGGAAGTTTCAAGGATATCTTAAATAACAAAATTGGTCCGTGCATTCCGTTTACAAATAAATAAAAAAAAAAGACGAAAGTAGTACTAGTACAAATAGCAAGAAGGTAAGGACAGATAAAGTAGGCACCATAAAGGATGACAAGGGGAGGTTAGCCACCAGCGACAGGGAGAAAGCAAATGCGTTCAGGAATTCTTTTCTTATGTCTTTACATACGAGATGGGCATGGGCAGCGATCAGGGCATCAGCTGCAGAAAAAGTAGTACCGGTTTTCACGTATCTCAGTGGCTGTCAAAGAGCAGAGTAATACAGAGGCTAGTATGTAAACAAATCCCCAGGACCTGATGGGTTACATCTGAGAGTACCAAAGGAACTTAGCCAGGTCATAGCCAGACCCTTGTACAACATTTTTATGGACAGTATAATGACTGGTATGGTACCGGTTGATTTGTGGAAAGCGAATGTGGTACCAATATGCACAAAGGGGACGAGAAGTACACTGGGTAACTACAGGCCTATCAGCTTAAAGTCAATAGTGTTCAAAATATTCAAAGGCCTGATAAGGGACTACATACAGGAATTTGCGAATAAAAGTGGTATTATAAGTAGTAACCAACATGGTTTCATGAACGACCGTTCTTTTCAGACCAATCTATTAACATTTTATGAGGAATTCAGCATTAATCTAATCTAGACAGAGGAATACCAATAGACGTGGTGTAGCTGGACTTTGCTAAAGCATTCGACACAGTACCCCACAAATGTTTGACTCACAACCTTAGGCCTATCAGTTTGTAGAAATAAAACTGATATCATAAGTAGTAACCAATATTTTCTTTCTGTTTGCACATGGGTGGAAAACTGGCTGGTTTACTTCATAAACTAAGCTCTATCCGGTTGGATGAAATTGCATGTACATGGGTGGAGAACTGGCTGCAAGAACAGATCCAGACGGTAGTAATAAATGGGTCTTTTTCTAATTGGGCAAAGGTTGTGAGTAGGGTGCCCCAGGGTTCCATCCTGGGACCGATCCTGTTCATCTTTTTTATTCACGACAGAGATTAGACTAAATAGTTTGATTTCAGTTTTTGCGGACGATACGCAACTGTGAAGGGAAGTAAGTTCCGAACAGGAGATATTTGCACTCCAACAGGACCTAAATAAAATTTAAGTATCGGCTACAAGATGGCAAATGTGATTTCAATGTTGAAAAATGTAAGGTTATGCACATTGGAGCAAAGAACATGTCCGCAAATTACTACTTGTGGGGTGCTACATTAGGGAAGTCGGATATGGAAAAAGACCTGGGGTGCTCATAGATCACAGATTTGCCAATAGTAAGCAATGCCAAGCAGTAGCCAGCAAAGCAAACAAAATATTGGCGTGCAATAAAAGAGGGATTGTAGCAAGGGATAAAAGAGTAATACTTCAACTTCATAAATCATTGGTTTGGCCTTATCTTAACTATGCAGTGCAATTTTGGTCGGCAACTCTCAGGAAAGACATCCTTGAGCTGGTAAAAGTTTAGAGCATGGATACAAAATTAAAGGGATAGAAGGCCTGAGTTATGAAAATCGCCTCCAGAAATTCAACATATTCACCTTAGAAAAGAACCGATTAAGAGGGGACCTTATTGCAGTCTTCAAAATCATCAAGTGAGGGGAAAGCTTTCTATGGGGACATCTACTTCAGACACCGCTGTCTCATTTTAGGAGGTTTTCTCTAACTTCCTGTTGCATCTCTGGGGCAGGAAATGAAGGAAAATTTCCGAGCTGCTGCACAGACAGCAAAAAGAAAAAACTACCAGAAGTTTTATCCTTTCCTACTCTATCCAAAACAAGTGTTAATTATAACATATATGTTAAATAAAGAAGAGGCATTGCACATAAACCTGGGAGTCTCATTGGAACAGTTAAAAGAAGCCGCATGTAGGCCTTTTAAATCCAAGAGATCAATTATTTCCTAGCTGCTAGAAGATTACACTCAGAATCATACAGTACTTTGGTCAAAACAGCCCCCTTAATTTCAGAAATTCTAAGTGTGTGGTTCTATTAAACCAATTGATGTCAGCACTGGGGATTATGTGGCGATATGATCGGTACAATAAATCCCAGATTTCACTAGGTAGGTACTTACCTAGAACAAGAATACACTCATTAAGTTCTGAAACAAAAATAAATAGGAAACACAGCAATGTCGATATACAGTACAGCAACAGTATGTTAATGCAACCTGCCCCCATACAAGACCATTCTTTCACTATAACACAAACTGCAAACATCATAGAACATGCTGAGAGTTCTCAGGAACATAAAACACACAATTGTGCAATAGAATGCAAAAAGGAGGACAAAATATAGCTTATAGCAAGAGCCCTAGTGACTAGAACGTGTTGGATAACTGAACCGACGTTTTGGAGGTTGAATCCCCGTTTAAGGTGTTCTCGTCTTCCTAGAATCAGATCTGGTTGGTATATAAGGGCTAACCAACCTCCAGACTCAGGCACTGCTATATTTTCTACTTTACCAAGAGTTCATGTCAGATCAAAAATATCACATTATCTTACCTTGCGTTTAATAAGAGGAAATCCGTGTCCTGGTGCAGGTCGATGTGCAGTTTTTGGTCCTTTGTTACTTTTTCTATTGGTAGGGGAAGTAATTGGGGAAGGCTTTCTATTGAAGGGGTTCTCTTTGCATGTAGGCTGAAAAAAGAAAAGTCGCTTTTAACAAACAATTTTGGTCTGTGTAACATATGTGTGTTAATGCTGCAACAGATGTGTTTATCTTTATAATATACATTACACCCACAGGCTACTTATCAAACCATTAAAAGGCTTGCCAATAACAGAAAAGTGGATAGAGCTGCAAGCAATACCATATGTCTAACTATTGTGCTTTGCTTGTGCAGTAGCATTTTCCATAGACTTAGCAGTTTTATACATTAAGAAACTTATAGGTTACACATACCCAAACCACTGCAATATTGTACACAGGAACAACCACTGTGTATTTCAAAAAGGATTATCTGCTTCATTGATCCAGGATCAAGATCCAAGAGAGAAATAAAAAGGAAGAAACTGACAGTGAAATATTTTCTGTGCCTGGTAAAACAAATGCTGTTTTGTTTTCCAGGACAGCTCTTCTTGGATGTCAGAATGCACATATACAGGTTTTTTACTTTATTAAAATCACCTATAGCAATCAAATATTGTCTTAGTGTAGTCAGACTGAGATTGTATACAACACAAAGCTTCAAATCCCCCTCTCGAGTTATATACACAATATACACATACAGTACTGTGTAGCAGTAGCATTTTTTCACAACTATCTAAAGAATGCTTTCAGAAATAAAAAGTGTTAATAGTTTATTTTTATCAATGAACAAAATGGAAAGTAAATGAACAGAAGAGAAATCCAAATCAAATCAATATTTGGTGTGACCACCTTTTGCCTTCAAAACAGCATCAATTCTTCTATGTACACTTGCACAGAGTTTTTGAAGGAACTCGGCAGGTAGGTTGTTCCAAACATCTTGGAAAACTAACCACAAATCTTCTGTGGATGTCGGCTGCCTCAAATCCTTCTGTCTCTTCACGTAATCCCAGACAGACTCGATAATTCTGAGATCGGGGGTCTAAGGAGGCCAAATCATCACTTCCAGGACTCCTTGTTCTTTTTCTTTACACTGAAGATAATTCTTGATATTGGCTGTATGTTTGGGGTTGTTGTCCTGTTGCAGAATACATTTTGGGCCAATCACACACCTCCCTGATGGTATGGAATTATGGAAAAGTAACTGCTTGTATTTCTCAGCATTGAGGACACCATTGATCTTGACCAAATCTCCAACACCATTGCAGAAATACAGCCCCAGACTTGATAGAAACCTCCACCATGCTTCACTGTTGCCTAAAGACACTCATTATTGTACTGCTCTCCAGCTGTTCGGTGAACAAACTGCCTCCTGCTACAGCCAAATATTTCACATTTTGACACTGCGTTTTTTTCTGCAACCCAGTTCCTATGTTTTCATGCATAGATGAGTCGCTTAGCCTTGTTTCCACGTTGGAGGTATGGCTGTTTGACCGCATTTCTTCCATTTAACACCTCTCTCTGGGCAGGTTAATAACACCTCCTAGCTCCAATTATGCAAGTGCAATCAACACCTGGTTGCGATTAACAGATTATGTGGATTGGAGCAACATTGACCATATTTATTCCCAGATAATTTTTGTTCAAGTCATTCTGAATTGAGAAAGCTGGTCGGATGGCCAGTGAAACGTCTTCAAGAAAAATACAGCAAGTCCAGTTGCCTTGACTTATTTTTTACAGATATATCATGACCTGGATGAATGAGAACATTCACAGATACCTTATGTCTTGTTGCTGTGCTCAGTCTTGCCATGGTGTATGACCTGTGACATTAAACTGTCTTAAGGTGCCCATACACCTTACAACCATCGCAAGACTTTTGTCTTGCGATGGTTGTAAGGTCATTAAAAAAACGTACGATCTGCCCATCTTGGACAGGCAGATCGTACTTGCGATAATCGCAAGCCCGCAATTACGATTCTTGGCTGGTTTTCGAACATGTTGTAAGACAAAAGTCGTGCGACCGTACAGTAGAAACGGTCGCACGCCTTCCACACACCTTGCGATTATCGTACGATCGCGGGATTTCCCGCGATTATCCTAGATAATTGCAAGGTGTGTGGGCATCTTAACACAATCAAAGTAGCAGAGTTTGGCTGTTCCTCACCCAGTTTTAAGCCTCCTACACAGCTGTTTCTGTTTTAGTTAATGACTGTGTTTAAACCTACACAGCAGCCGCGTCATCCCTAAAATTTACCGTTGGGGTTCATCACAACTTGGCAAATGTTACCAAGGGGTCTCGGCCCTAGAAAGGTTGAGAACCACTGGTCTAGACCATTAGATCTAGAGCTTTTTCTTACCATCATCAGCACAGGCATTGTGCAACACAGGTGTTGTGTATGACACAAAATTGTTTATCACTGTGTGACAATTTCACATTTCATACTATTTTTTTCACATTTTAGGAATATAATTTTTGAGTTTGAAGCGCAGTGCTATTTTCTTTTTTCCTATTTTGGGTGTACTCCCCTATTAAGCACAGCTGCTCTTAAGAGTGTTATTTGATTCCTAGCGCAGTTTTTTTCTAACAACGTCTGAATAGCACAACATACCAAAGTATTGTTGCTGATCAAGTTCATCCTATCATGTTGATGGCGTATCCCAATGGCGATGGCTTCTTCCAGCAAGACAATGCGCCATGACACGGTGCTCGTATTGTGCAGGAGTGGTTTCAAGAACATGAGGGAGAATTTACCTTGCTTAGGTGGCCCCCCACAATCACCAGATCTCAATCCATTTGAGCATTTGTGGGACGAAGTTGAAAGAGCCATCAGGCAGCTGGTTCCACAACCATCAAATCTCACAGAACTGGACAGTGCTAGTCATACGGCATGGCGTCAGATTCCTCGCATCACTTTTCAACATCTCGTGGAGTCAATGCCAAGAAGAATCGCCGCAGTATTGAAGGCAAAAGGTGGCCCAATGAAGTACTGATCTCTCCGCTGGTCCCGAGCTTCGCTGTGCCTGGGGCGAGCCCGGGACCAGCATGGTGGTTCGGTGACAAGGGATCAGAGGGAGTCGGTACACGATCTCCCTCCGATCCCCTCTCCGGTGTTAGAATGCAGAAGTGATGTATATTACATCACTTCCGCATTCTTGTGTCACTCTCCGACTTCAGAAGCTGGAGAGAAGCTGATGAAGCAGATCTCTGCTTCATCAGTGCTTCTTTGGGGGTCCCTAGGTGACATTAGGGGTCTTGAAGTGAGGGATGCAATTTGATTTGTAAGAGCAGAATATAAAGTCACAAGAAAAATTATCCAATTTTTTAGGACCTAAAGTTTCATTAGCCTTCTGATATTGCCATTTGTCTGGCTCTTCAGGAAAAGACGGAGATAAAAATAGATAGTCATCTAAAAAGGTATGTAACTTGGTAAAATGGATTTAACCATCAAACCTAATGCAAGATGTTTTCACAGGTAGTGAGGAAAACATTTGTGCTTTACCTACAACAATATTGAATAACGAATATTAACATTATCCTTCCAATTATTCCACTTACCTTTACTGGCTGTTTAGCTTCTGGAGAAGGGGTCATTGCAGATGGATCAGGTGGACATGGAGCTTGATGGCTGGGATTGATCTGTAGACTGTCAGAAGATGAGTCTTTCTTCTCTGGGGAAAGACTTCCCTGCACTTCACTTGTATTGGCTAAGTCACTGGATGAGGAGAGGCTGGTATTAGTGGACAGAACACTAGCATCATGGCTACTGGCTGTAGAATGGTTGATATAGTTTGTGTTCTCCACATCTGATCGTCCTGATGTGGTTGGGGAGTGAATGGTTGGTTCTGAGGAGCTTTTAGGAACGTTTTCCGATTCATGACCCTTCGTGGAGGATTCTGTGGGAAGACTTTCTGTACTTAGAGCGGGTGATGGGCTGCCAGATGGAGGCTCTGAATGAGACAGACGGGAAGCCAGACAACTTGAGTGATGGGCTAAAGACAAAAGATAAATGCACAAGTTTTTTCCAATATATAAACCATAATAAAAGTACAACAAAGAGGATATGCAAAAAAGTACAGTTACAGTACCATGTAACAAACTGATGTTCAGCAGATAATTGTATAACAAAGGTCTAAAAACCTGTAATATGAAATCCTACACACTAGGGGAGAAATTTATCAAAAGAGGAGCAGACAAATTTTGGAGCAGTTGCCCAAATGAGCCCAAAAATATTTATATTGGGATCTTCTGTGCAGACATGGCAGGCAGAGTAATGGATCTCGCCAAGTATAAATCTGCTGAGGGGGAGGGCGTGCTCTGAGATGTTAGGAGAGTGGGGCAGAAAGAATAAGTGCACTTTCTATAATTTGTGACCCTTTTGGTAATTAGCAGCAGAATCTGCTCAGTTGTTGCAATTTAGAAAAGGTTTATTCATGTGCCACTCTTGGTCAATTTCTCCTCATAGAGTTTCAACTGGTGTTTTTTTATTAACCACTGGGTTTTTTATTTTCAATGTACTCCATTCACACCATACATGTGCGATGGCGTGCACTGCATAAAAATGCAGCAAATCTGCATTTTATGCAATGCACAAAATCGCATTATAAAACAAACACTGTTGTGCATAGGGTTTTAACTTTAACAAAGTTTTGTTTAACAAACTTTAACAAAGTTTTGTTAACTTTGCATAGGGTTTGGTAACTTTACAAACCAGCATACACATTATGTGTGCCATAATGTGCATCTGCTGTTGTGAACCGGCTCTTAGGTGTCACTGTGGCTCCTCACGCCTCTGCTAATTAAAAGCAGAAACATTTAATTTATGCCGCATCCTTTATTTAAAACTGGCAGAACAGTGACACCAAGTGACCACATTAGCAAGTTTACAGTGTTGATCAGTACCTATTATATATCCCCGAAGAAGAATGGTACCCAAAATGTCGTCCTCCTGCTGACACGCATTGGCTCTGTTCATTTTTTGCCTATGATCTGCACTGCCTAATGAAAGCAAGATTACCCACTGCACACCTGCTGTATAGACAATGATGTTTAAAAATGTCCTGATAGGACAGAAGGTTCCCCAAATGTCTCCTTAACTACAATGGTCGGTTGGGAGGTGCCTACAAACAACCAAAACTAGGCAACAAAAGATTCCAACAAGCATACCTATGAAATATTGAAATTGCAGAAAACAAAATCAACTCTGGTTATTAGTTGGACTTTCTTACCCAGAGGGGAAGCATTTGGGGCTTTGGGTGCTGGTCTTTTTCTTGCTTTAGGGCTGCTGGTTGGGGTAAATCCATACCACGGATGGTTTGGCTTTAGATTATTCTCGTCTGACTCCTGTTCCTCTTCGTCTTCAAATGGATTGTAGTGCTTGGGCTTAGAGGGGCTATCAATAGCTGCTTCTTCTGCTGCTTTGGAGCTCTTTTCTGCATCATCTTCATTCTGTAACACAGATGGAGGTGGTGGGGCAGCCCTTTTTTTAGGCTCACTTGCTGCCACCAAGGAAATCCAAGGAGGGTCTTTAGAACGTTTTCCATCCTCCTCTCTGTAAAGAAAGCCACACCAGAAAAAAAAAAAGATGCAAAATTAAATCTTGCAAAAATAAAAAGGGTTATAAAGCCAAAAGAAGTCAACTAAGACCTTACAGAGAACAATGGTGCAGGCTGTGATAATTCCTAACAGCAGAGAAAAATCCAAATGTTGTTATAAGTTTAGCTACACTCATTTACGAATTTCCCCCTTTAACATCACACTTTTTTCCCCTTTGCCAATTTACCCTTACGCTCTCCAAGGTTTTGATTTTCTTTGTTTTTAATATGCTAGTATTCTGTATGATTATAGCATTACTGCAGGATGCTGATTTCATTACCAGTTGCAGAAATACCCATTTTTTATCACTATTGTATGAAAGTGTTTTTAACGTGCATGCACATTAATAAGCCTTAAAAAGAAAACTGATGCACTGTGAACCTGCAGTACAAGAATTTCCCCTTTCTGCTTTTTCCATTGTGTAGATCTGTCCTTTTTGTACCTCCCCTGCTGCTTCTTATATATTTCCCCATCAGTCATCAGAAAACCAGTTATCAGGGGGCAGCTCTGACATGATTGCCACCTCCACATAGTAGCATAGTTCAGAAAAAGGCATGCAATGGGGAAAAGGTCAGCTGTAGTAGTAGCACAAGATGACTTTGTCCTATTTTTGTTGGGATCAGGTAGGTCCACAAACCAATGTTCTCTTAAATCCCAGGTCCAGGCTAAGCACAGAACCTTTTCTTCTTTCCAAAGATACTTGCAAGTTTAAGTTTTGCATACGCAAAGAAAAACAGTCAAAAGGTTTCTTTATTCAAAATGACTGCAAATTAGACATATTCTACATTGGCTCTTATGTGCAGAATTACCAATCACATAAAAAAAAGTAATTCCATTCTTAAACAGAAAAGAACACAGATCTAGCAGATTTATAGGCTAGGTTCAGATCTGAGCGATACCCGGTACCACGCAATCGTGTTCAAACAGCGATTCTAACGGGGTTATATCTGCGCAGCAATCGCAAAAAAAAGTACCTTTTTTTGGCGACACACGACGCGCTGCTTTTTTAGCCACCATCGTGTTCAATTGCAGGGGCGGAATTGCGGCGGGAAACCGTGCGATCCGCCTGGCGCGACTGGGGTGCGCCAGGCGGTTTTGTGCGTGATTGCCACACGGTCAGGAATCGCCCAGATGTGAACCTAGCCTTAAAGGAAGCAGTACTAGGAGCCAAAGTAATTCATTATTTTTTTACAAATAAAAGCTCTTAAACTGTTTAAAGCTCAAATCTGGGATAAGCAAATATTGTCCAAATACAAAAAGGCATGTGTATTCTTACTTGAATCTTGGTGTGATTTGTGTATTTATTTCAGAACTGTGCAGTAATCCAGAGTAAAATGTTGACTATGTGCAGGAACTTCATGTGATAAAGACCAGTCACTGCTGATCTCTCTCTCCCTCCCTTGCAAAGGGTAACCGGTCTTTTATCTGTCCCCTCCTGTAGTTTTCTGCAGGCAGCCTGTAGTGGGAGTTGTTGGGCCCCTCCTACAGCTCTGCTCCCTGTGCATGCTATGTAACGCACAGTAATGATGTCACTACTAATTTTACAAGGTAAACATTGGGTTTGCCTGGCATTTGGTGCAAACAAAGCAGATTTATATCCTTTGCGGCTATTGAGAAATGTATTTCAATGAACGTTTTTGTTCCCAAAGTTCACTTGTAGTTCAACCTCTTACTTAGAAATCATTGTTATTCACCTTTCTGAAGACCTCTGTCTGCCTCTAGGCTTAGGGACTGGTGGGGTTGACATCTGCTGCTGCTCACCTACAATGCAAACAGATTCAATGTAAAACACTTATTGTGATGGTGCTAACTTGCATGCAAGTTTTTATTTTTTAAATTGATCATCAATAAATCAAACAGCTTTCAAACAATGTGGGCCCTTTAACAAACATCTAACTAACTTACCGTTCACAAGACTTGTTGGTCGTGCGGGGCTCTGCCCTGCTCCTGATCGAGCTCGAGGCAGAGGCAGAGGTGCTACTTCACTTGACTTCCTTGGTGCTGGCACTGGTCGTGTGTCTGGTACACTATCTGCATCAGGTTCTTTTTGAGGTTTGTTCGGAAGTGGAGGCTTTGGAGGAACGCGTGGTTTGGGAGGGCTTTGGACTGCATTTTGTACAGAATCTTCTTCTGCAGACTCGGGACTGATGGTACCTGGTCGAGGTCGATTATGGTGGGTACACACAAACGTGCCAGTCTCAGCACCAGGTCGATACGAACCGGGAAGCAGAGTGCTGGAGCACTCTTTACACCTGTAATGCGTGAAAACAAAAAATACTTCTATAAAAAGGTCACTTTCTCACCAGTTCAGATAAGGTCAAAAATGAAAAGGAGAAAAGAAGCCTATAAACAGGTTAATTGTGACACATGTTTACAGTATATCTAATCCCCCCTTCCCCCCTAAAATCTAATATACCGTATATACTCGAGTATTGCTAGGTTATTGTTTTTCTTTGAAATAAATATTCATGTAATTTTATTGGTATCTATCTTCATTTTGTACATTTACCAGTAGCTGCCTCATTTCCCACCCTAGGCTTATACTCGAGTCAATATTTTTTCCCAGTTTTTTGTGGTAAAATTAGGTACCTCGGCTTATATTCGGGTCGGCTTATACTCGAGTATATACGGTATTGTATCTTAACTAGTTCTGATGTGGTGGCTGCATTAGTTTTCTTTTCAGGTAAAGTACATTTTCTGCACATATGGTAAAATACATAAAAGTCCAAAACAGGAGCACAGCATAAGGATGCAACACTGCTCCATAGCTACAATACATTGAGTGAGCATTGCCACGCTAGGTCAGGAATTGTTTTGCAGGCAGGTTTACTAGGTGAAAAAAAAAAAAATAAGAAAAAGCCTGAAAACCACATCTAGGGACTGGTAAGCTGCAATATGTTACAGTCTTGTTATTGGGTTTAGATCCACTTTAAAGTGTATGGAAAGTGTATGGAAATCCTAACAATGAACTTCTTCCTATTTGCTCTTTTTGGTCTGTTAACTATACCAATGAAATTGCAAACATTACCCGTTGATTCTGCCAGAAATCTTGCAAGTTGATGCAAACTTCCCGTGGACCTGCTTTTGGGTTTAAATGCAGCACTGCTGAAATGCATGCATCCAAATGCAAAGGGCCACATTTGATGTACTTTGCCTGCCTAGTAAACATATTGCAGGACACCACCACAGAAGTAAATGTCAAATGCTGGCGCACAATGACCACCAACACAAACTCTAACAGCAAGCATTGTAAGTGCCAAAGTACAGTGTCTGACTACATGGATTAGTTCAACTAATATGTCTTGGATCACTGATACAGACCTGGCATCAGACATCCTTTTTTTTTTTTTAACGTGCCTGCATCTTAAGTAATGTGCAAGTGTAGCATTTGCAGGGACTGATTAACGCTTGAAGAGATCTCAGTGTTCCAGCTGAAAATGTTATGATCTTCTTTGTGTGTCTAGAAAGTCAGCATCATCTTTGTCTAGCCATCATTCCTGATTCTCCTTCCTGGAATATGATGCCAGTTCAAATATGACATAAATTATACAGTCATCTGGGGTGTTTGCTGCAGCCTGAAGGAACCCACAATCGGCGGATCCAAATCTTGGATGCGTATGTTTTTTGGATACACATTAAGTACTCAAATATTTACATCTATATTCTAACCTAACTGTAAATGTAGATTACTGTACAATCTTTAAGATATATTATATAAATAGCGGTACAAATTCTGTAGTTTTGTGATATGATACAAACTTTTGTTTTGAGTGCAGTAGAAAATGTAATGCCATAAGTAATGGCAGAATTTTTAAAGATAATAAAAACAAAATGTTTTAAAAAAAAAACAAATGCTCCAGGTAAAGCCGTACTGGCTTTGCATACAAATCATGTTGCAAATATTTAACCACTTGAAGGCCATAGTGTTTCACCCCCTTCCTGGCCAGGCCATTTTTCAGTATTCAGCGCTGCCGTACTTTGACTGATGTTTATTCCGTCATGCAACGCTTTACTGAAACGATTTTCATACCATTTTTTGGGGACAGATAGAGCTTTCTTTTGGTGGCTTTTATTCACCACTGGGGTTTTTATTTTTTACTATATAACAAAAAAAGTACCCTAAATTTTTAAAAAAAACATGTTTCCCTATAAAATGTTATGAAACATTTTTTTTCACCCCAATTTTTTGGTAAAATATAAAAGTCGGGGTCACGTCGGGTAAATAGACACTAAACATGTCAACCTTTAAAATTGCGCGTGCCCGCAAAATCGCAGAAAACGACCGCAGCCAAAATTGGCCATAGGCGACGCTTTAAACGTTTTTACCGCTCATCAGTTTAGTGTCATCAGTGATTGATGGCCCTAGAATTATTGTTCTCACTGCGACGTTCGCGGCGATATGTAACATGTGCTGCATAATGGGCGCAATCGTCGGTTTCGTACATAGGCGCACCCGACGCATGTTTGCGCGTGTATCTGGGGGGCGGGGGACTTTAAAAAAATGTTTGTGTTATTTTTTTTTATTTTTTTTAGCTTCTTTATTTTTTTTAGCTTCTTTATTTTTTTTAATGCTGTAATTTTTTTTTTTTTACTTAACTTTATTGCTATAACATAGGGGACTAAGGAATCCCCTATGTAATAGCCAGTTCACCAAACAGGTCCTCTTTATGGAGACATCAGGGGTCTCAAGACCTCTGATGTCACCTAGGGACCCCCACAGAAGCTGATGAAGCACAGATCTGCTCCATCAGCTTCTCTCCGGTGTTCTGCACCGGAGAGTGACACTGAATGCAGGAAGTGATGTAATATACATCACTTCCTGCATTCGGGGACAAGAAGAGAGATCAAAGGGATGATCAAGTAATGATCATCCCTTTGATCTCCTGTTAGAGCGTCGCCGTGCCGGTCCCAGCCGCACCGGCCACATCGGAACACGGGACCGGCAGCGGCGGCGAAGAGACGAGCAGGAGGAGGTACGGGGGGGGGGGGGCGGCGCACACCTGCAGATCCTGCAAGCGATCGGGCGTCTCTAGAGACGCCTGACCGCTTGTATGTAAACAGCCATCGCTGGCTGTTTACATGCTGACGGTTTTCCCTCTCGTGTGCGGCGCTCAGCGCGGACACGAGAGGGGGGAGGGGCAGGACGTCTTAAGACGCCCTCCCGCTCTGAGCAGACGTCCATCTGGCCGTTCACAAACGGCCATGGACGTAAGGTAGTTAAAGCGTCCAGCCAGGAGCCAGCAAAGTATAACATTGGTCCTTAGAAGAGAACTCTTGGGGAAGTAAAATGTACTCTTCACAATAGTTTGAGCCGGCGTGCGACACTGCAGCTGTCATATGCGTTCTCTAAGGACTGAGAACTGAGTGTTGACAAACTGCTGATCACTCAGCTCAGGGCTTCTCCCTGCAACGAGCAATGACTGTCAGTCACCGCTCTCCCCGGGGATTCCCTCTTCCTTCCACCAGCACTGATTGGAGGGACAGACAGCTGAGGGGGCGGGCACAGCTGGCTCAATAGAGGCAATCTGTCAATCAAGCAGCCGGGTGGATCCCGACAATATTGCCAGGATCCTTCCTGGCTGCAGCATGTCTGTCAGAATATAGTGGACTGTAGTCCGCCATTTGCTGCATTTGGGTCAAAGGAGTACATTAATAAATGTACTTCCATGACCCAAAAGAGAATTAAAGCCAAAAATAAGGTTTGGTTTAAGTAGGGGATGAATACATTGGTGGAACAATTGGGTCTTTGCGAACTGAGCAAAGACACCATGGTAGGGGAGTGTAGCAGTGAAATGTATTGATTTTAGAGTGGAACGCACAGCCAGAATATTAAAAAAAAAAAGTTTAATTCTGTTTTGGTGGGGAAAAAAAAGAAGCAGCAACCCAAAGCCCATAGGAATATTCATGGCCCTGAGTCAGAGGTGTACTAGTAGTTAAAAAGGTTGTTTGAGGACTTATCACTGCAGGTGGCGCTGTACAATCACCAGGGATGTGACTGACAGAAAAATGAAGCATCTTTGTAGAATAGGCTGCACAGGGTGGATGTGTAGAGAAGGAGGGAGAGACTGCTCATAAGATTCTCCTCACCAGAAGACCACAGGAAAAAAACGCTCTCAACTCCATTACTGTGTCAGCAAACTTGGTAGAGAAGAGAAGACGGTGAAGATTTAAAATGGGGGTTAAAGCCTAGCAGTGAAAAAAAAAAAAAGCAGTAAAACAGGCCCAAGGTGCACAATGCACAACATGCAACTTAAAGTATGAAAGCACAATAAAGAAGGTGAGATTATACTAACCCTCACATACTGCCTGGGCATATACAACAGGTTCGGAAGAAATGTCACAAAGGGAAAAAATTCTCTACACAGCTACTAGCCCGCCAGCCATTCACAACAATGAGGTAACTAAAACACATACAGCAGGACTGTCTCAGAGAGAACATCAGTATACTAAATCAGTTCCCTTGACCCTCTCCTTATTTCCTTTGTTTTTATTGAGAATAAACAGTTTTAAAAAAAAAAGCATTTTCCTGTAATTTGCTACCCCTTAATAAATGTACCCCCAAAATATAATCAACAAGGTCTGCAGATCAGGCAGCAATAAATCAATATAGCAGGGAGATGCTAAACAGAGCTGTAATACATCTGTCCTGGCCTCTGTACAGACTGGAAGTGTGTTGACTATATTCCGGATGTAAACACAACATGAAGTGAGCATCAGAAGAATCAGAAGCCCAGGAGGTGATCCTTTCAGCTCTTGGGCTAAGTACTGGACCACGGCTATCACAGAGAGCCAGTGGTCCAGAAGTACTGGACCACGGCTATCACAGAGAGCCAGTGGTCCAGAAGTACTGGACCACGGCTATCACAGAGAGCCAGTGGTCCAGAAGTACTGGACCACGGCTATCACAGAGAGCCAGTGGTCCAGAGCTGGTGTCAGCAAAGGCCCAGAGGAGCTGCTCAGACCAGCCGCCATTTTTAAATGATGCAGCCATAAAATAGCATCCATCTCTGTGCTGTCTTAAAACAGTGGCCAGGACTCAAATGGTTGATGAACTGGGAAAACCTGTGCTCATTGGTTAACTGGAGAGACTTCCAGGATTTCCAATATCTGCTCTAAATTTACCAGTAGCTGTAGAAAACCTTCCAATTTCAGCACAAAATATATCGAATAGGAAAGAGACATCAATTCTCCTAAAAACACTAAGCGAAACAGAGCAGGTATGAAGGGGTTATAGCCTTCAGTTTTCTATGTGCTAGTGTCCATTTCTCCTGGAGGCGACAGTTTAACCCTAGGTTGCTTATTATTATCAAGCTGTGTCCCAAAATGAAGTGCTGGATATGCACTTTAAAAAAATTAGTGAGCAGCTTGATGTTCTCAGAAATGACTACCCTTGCCATTAATAAAGAAATGCAAAACAAACAAAAAATAAAAATCCAGAAATAATTTAAACATATACACGGTGAAACATAATGAGAAGAAATACAGTGACAAAATAAGACACAAAAAACAGATAGACATGATGGGGAAAGGAAGAAAAAAAAAAGCTCAAAAGGGAAAAAACAGGAGAAATGGCTTTAAGGTGTACCTGAAACACTGCCGATGATACAGCTTTCCGTCTACTAAGCATCTCTGTACAAGGTGCACATGTTGCTGGCATAAGGCACAGGTGCTGCTCAGTGCCACACGAGTGGCTGTACTTGTGGAATCCAGACTACCCTAAATAAGATGACACACACACTTAACATATACTAAAATTCCCATCATATATATTACTACAAATCTTTTAGATTGTAAGCTCTCCTGAGCAGGTCTATCCCTCCTAACGCTCTTGTATCGAATTGTATTGTAACTGTACTGCTTCCCTTGCACTGCCAAACTGTTGGCACCATATCCTGTATAATAGCAATAATAAAACTGGTGACCAGTAACCAAAAGTACATGTGACATGAATCTGATCAAAAAATGTAATGATGGTATTTTGGCAGCAGTAGCCAACAGCTAAGGCACAAATATAAATTCAGGTTATCTGGAGAGAATGCTCATTTTAGAATTTATCTGTCAATAATTAAAAGGTGTATGGGCTGCTGATGGCTTTCACAGTTGACTGTTACCACTGGCTACAATTAAGGATGGAAGATATGTTCATTAAAGCTGCATCAAATGATGTATGTGGCTCTCAGGGCTGCATAATATCAGCAGTTAGAATCTGCCAGAATAACACCCATATCTGACAGGCTAAGCCAGCAACTGAATAGGAGATGTCTCAGGTAGACAAATCTACATATCTATAGGCACAATTTAACGCCATTGCTAGCACTATTCTTTAGCTATACCTGAGGTTGTGTAACTTGACTCTGTCCTTGCTGCAGTGGAAAGGTCTGTTTGAACTGAGGAACTCCAGCTGTGAGAATAAATAAAAGTATAAGTGAGTTAAATAAAGAGCTGGTGGAAGAAGACATGCAGAGTGCCAGCAGAAAGGGTAGCACATTAATCATATATTTTCAACTACACTATAACAACTACCCCATACTCATTCACAAAGGGGGGGCGTCATCTGGAAGCCCCCTTTATGAAATGCAGATACCCCCTCCCTGGACAACCACTGAGCCAGGGTTGTGGGGAGGAGGCCCTTGTTCCCATCGGCATGGTGACTAGGGGAGCCCCCCTGGAAAAGCACCCTCCCAATGTCAAGGGAATGTAGCATGGTATGGTGAAAGGAGGTGGGGCCGGCTGGCCCCCCACCCCATTTTTCCTTGTCCGGCCACTGCTCGGATTAAGGGGGTCCCTCCTAACATTCTGGTAGGAATTTGAGAGGGGAACTGCACACTGGTTTTCATACCCAGAGACATTGGCGATCAGGACAATTAGAAAAAGTGAATCTCCCAAGGCTGGGTTCATACCTAGTCGACAGCGTTTTTTGCACGTTTCTGATTCACATTTTTTACGCATAAATCAAATTGTGCATTTTTGTGTGCAGATTGTAGCTCATTGATGTTAATGAGCAAATGCGTGCGAAAACACAGCAAATGTGTGTTTTCAAGCATTTCCTATTAAGTCTACAGGGCCAAAACGAGCTGTAATATGTCCAAAAAAAAGCTCATGAACTTCGCCAGCGACAGGCGTTTTGCTTATTGCGACAAAAAATGCTCACATGTGAACAGGGCCATAGAAATTAATGGAATTTTGGGGGGCAGAAAAAGCGCTACAAAACGCTCAGTGTGAACCAGGCCTAAAGGAGACACAGCAAAAAAAAAAAAAACAGACAGGGTTCTAAACCCCTCACCACTCTAGCCAAATCTATAAAAAAAAAAAGTTTTGCCTTTAGATACTCTTTAAGCCCTTACCTGGGTTGGATTTGCGAAAAAAGTTGTAATACTGAGATACATAGGTCATAATGCTAAGACGATCTGGCACTTTCATGGATACCATGTCATCTGGGTCAAGCAATGTCGGTATGCCCAGTTCTCGCTCTGCCACATCAAAGGCCTGGATAGAAAAAAAAGTAGGACAAAAAGTAGTTAAACAGAAAATCAGTTTATTATTATATTGTTATACTGGATTTATATAGCACCAACAGTTTGCTCAACGCTTTACAACATAATAGGTGACTGTATATTTACAATACAATTCAATACACAAGGGGTAGGAGAGTCTTGCTGGTGAGATTAAACAACCGTATGCAGTGGCTCATGGCAAACAGATCAGCTTTGAAAAATTTTGAACTGCTAAAATCTAGTTTCTAATTGCCACAGGACAACTCTTTGCACAATGCTATGGAAACAATAAGAACAATGCAGGAAAGGGAAGTAAAAACCAAAATGCAGTGGGAGACCATTATCAATACTGTGTTAATGATTGTGGTGTTAACCTGTAGCCTCTTATATTTTACATTGCAAGTTGCAAAGTAGTAAATTGCACACATGCACAATCACATACCTACACGCAATAGGTTGAACTTGATGGACCTGTGTCTTTATTCGACCTCAAATACTATGTAACTATGCAAGTTAGGGCAGGGATGGACAAATTGTTATAGAGTTCAGTAGCCAGCCGGATATTTTTTGGGAGACCGCTCCTTTTACAACTAGAGAAAATCTCAAAAGTTAGGCGCCAGCTGTAATTGTTGAGCATTGACTATCTACCTGGCTACTGGTATTTGTTCCGCCCTGCCATAAATGCATATTTAAATGGAGTTTAGCTTTAACCCCTTCACGACCAGTGATGCACATAGTACTAACTGGCAGCGGGCTTGTTTAGCCGCCGGGACTGTTTACATTTGTAGAGCTGGCGTCCAGGTTTACAATACAAGCGATTCAGTTTACTACGAGCCAGTAAACTGAATGCGTATCTCAAAACAGATGACCTTTAGGGGCTTTTAAAGTGTCGTCTATGGACTTTATGGGGTACTGAATTTGGTTTCAGAGGAACACAGTTTTTAACCTAGGCATGTTGCGTATCTATTTACTCGTTATAACCTCATCTTTTATATTTTATAACTAGGGTTGCACAGATACCAAGTACAGTACTCGGTACAAGTACGAGTACATGAACCGATACTTTTGAGCTCCAAAACTAGACTAGAGAAAAATTCAAAAATTAGGAGGCAGCTGTCATTTGTAAGGAGCACACAGAGCTCCTGGGATTTGTACATCTCTGTTTTAATGTACGATTTTGTTTTTATAAATATAAATAAAGGGATGCACAGATACCAGTTTTGCGAGTACGAGTACTGGTACTTGCCGAGTACTTACAAGTAAGAGTACTGATACATTTTTGTTTATTGTCATGTGACAGTTTTTCTAAAACAATACAGACTAATGATTTCAGGACAGTGGTAGAGTGCCAGAGCCAAGTCCCAGCTGCATCCACTGCCACCCTGGTAGTTCTCATGAAAATGCCAAGTATCTGCACTGGTACTCGAAAAGTATCTGTGCAACCCTATTTATAACCAAAATTGGTATTTTATTGTGTTTAATTAAATTAAAAATGTTTCACTCATTTTTGGGTTTGATAATTTGCGCTAATATCTTGCAACATAAAAACGGCCTCGGTCATTAAGTGGTTAATACCCTTTTGAATGCTTTTACAGTAACAGATTACAACGCATAGAAAATTTGTGACTTTATACAAAAAATATATGATAACTATAACTTTTCATTTTAAACCACTAGGATTATCGCAGGTAATCATTTTGCAGGTCTGCCCTCATGAGCACAGTACACTATGGAAGCGGCTGCATTCATTCGTGTACATGAGAAAATATGAGCTCAAAGCCACAATGAAGTGATTTTTATAACAGCATTAAGGTGCCCATACACTTTACAACCCTCGCAAGACTTTTGTCTTGCGAGGGTTGTAAAGTACTTTTAAAAAAACGTAAGATCTGCCCATCTTGGACAGGCAGATCATACTTGCGATCATCGCAAGCCCCCTGAGGAGCGGGATTGCGATGACTGCAATGAGGGGCGGGCTTCCGATGACTGCAAACGGGCAGTGTGTGCGTGCGCACACCGGCCCGTTCGGCAGTTGTCGAACAAGCAGGCAACTAACTCGCCGAGAATCGTACGATTCCCGGCGGGTTTTCCAGCCTGCTTGTTCGACGGAAGACGTGCGACCGTACAGTAGAAACAGTCGCACGCCTTCCTTACACTGCACGATTCTCGTACGATCACGGGATTTCCCGCGATTCTCGCATGAGAATCGTGCAGTGTATGGGCACCTTTAGACACAATTCAGAATTCAGCAGATGTACCACCCCACACACAGAAATCGGTGGAATGAGAAAGAAACAACCACACAAGTGATTTGTGGCACATGCAAATCCTTTCATACACAACTTGGTTGCTGAAAAAATGTATTATAGTCAACTATATCACTAATTACTGACGCTTCATCTTTTGCAGCTCCTTGAGCTGGGCACCAAATAGCAGAATTTAGTGACTCGTTTTATCCAGCGTAGCTGTTAAGGTAATTTGTAGCTGCACTGACATGTATTGTATCCAGCTTCAAGTCACAGTGCGCACTATACACTGAGTGGCCAGATTATTATGACCACCTGACGTTTGTAGGCGAATTAGCTATAATTTCGCACTGAAGTTGCTACAGGGCCAGACCATTATAAATAGTAGGGATGCACAGATACATTTTGAGTACCAGTGCAGATACTTTGCATTTTCATGAGAACTACCAGGGTTGCAGCTGGGACCTGGCTCTGGCACTCCACCACTGTCCTGAAATCATTAGTCTGTATTGTTTTAGAAAAACTGTTACATGACGATAAACAAAAATGTATCAGTACTCGTAAGTACTCGGCAAGTACCAGTACTCGTACTCGCAAAACTGGTATCTGTGCATTCCTTTATTTATAGTTATAAAAACAAAAAGCATACATTAAAAGCAGAGATGTACTGATCCCAGGAGCTCCGTGTGCTCCTTACAAATGACAGCTGCCTCCTAATTTTTGAAATTTTCTCTAGTGTAGTCTTGGAGCTCAAAAGTATCGGAACATGTACTCGTACTTGTACCGAGTACTGTACTTGGTATCTGTGCAACCCTAATAAATAGGGAAGCAGGTTGTTTACCACGACAGTAGAAGTGATTTGTTTCTGAAGATATGGGTAAACAACGCGATTTAACAGCCTTTGAACGTGGGATGATTGTTGGCGCTCGGAGCCATGGAGCGAGTATCAGCAAAACAGCAGAATTCGTTAAATGTTCAAGAGCAGCTGTTGTTAAAGTGTTTATAGACTGGACTGTCAGCCGAAAATCTGGGTCTGAACCTGCGAATTGCGGCCGTCAGCGACTAGTCAATGTTAGGGCAGAAAGGAGAGTTGGCAAGACTGGTACAAGACAACAGAAGGGCAACAGTGCAGTGTCAGATTCCTCGCATCACCTTTCAACATCTCGTGGAGTCATCTCGTGGCCCAAGGAAGTACTGATGGGGTGGTCATAATAATCTGGCCACTCAGTATATACACATTTACACACACACTTGTGCAAATAAAACTTCTCAATATATACCTACATACATATATGTGTCCTTTCCTCCATGCCCAACCCCACGATGATAATGTTGCACCCTTTCACCAGACTAATACGACTCTAAAATTGACTCCTTTGCAAAAAAAAAAAAATCATCAGCACCTAAATATTCTTTTGATCTTACAATAAAGAAGTAAGAAGACTTTAAGGGCCCATTCACACTATGGCATTGCTGTAGGTTGCGTCCTTGTGTGTTGCATGTTAATGTGCAACAGCATCACACCAGAATGGACAAAAAAAAGGGAATGCAGCATTTTTTCAAACATGGCGCACCACTACACACGGCAGTGTTTCCACGCATTGTAGTGAGCTGACACTCGCACTGGCAAGCAAAGCTGAAAAGGAGAGTCCAGGATAAACCCTCCCGCTCTCAGCATACCTCAGTTTTGCAGCAAGCAATAAAGAACAGAGAGGAGAGACCTATGTCACATTGCACTCCAAGATTTTTTTTTTTCTCAGGCATGATAAAAATTCTATTTCCTTAAACAGGCCATACACCTATCGTTTTCGCTAGTGCAGCCCTGTGGGGCTGACCAAGTCTCTGCAAGGTCTGCACCATCTGTTGGACATTGGCTGACAGCATGTGAACTAATTGCTCCCTCAGCAGGAGGTCATCCAGATATCCCACAGTGGGAATCGCCTGGGATTGCAGCAGAGCAAAAACAGGAGCATGAACCTGAGATGCAGTGGACAGGCCGAAGGAAAGGACAACAAATTGAAAAAGCTGTATGCCCACAGCAAAATACAGGTGGCATTGGTGAGCTGGAAAGATAGGGATGTACAAGTGAGCATCTTTGATGTCCCCCAAGGCCAGAAAATCTCCCGGATGAAAAGACGCAATGAAGGACCAAGCAAATTTCATAGTTCAACTACAGTATGGGTCCGGTGCCCTCTTTTGTCTTGGGAGCAGTGAACAGGTTGGTGTAAAACTGCTGGAACCTCTTTTCCTCTGGTACCACATTGATGACCTCTTGGGAAAGGGGTTGCACCAGGGCAGCACGGGGATCTGCCAGTCTTTGCGGAGACTTTGGTAACTTGGACAACATGAAACAGAGATAAGCTTCTTCCAATGTCTACCATTTCCAGTAGAGAGGAAACATAGATTTGTAGTAAGTAGGTCTCATTTTGACGTGGACAGCTAGGAGTATCTGTTGAGTGTTTTACCTATGCACTAAGAAAAAAGGAAGACCGCAAGAAGCTGGCGAAAAGCAAGTGATGCACCAGATCTTATCCATTGTTTGTGATTATAGGGATGTTGCTGATGTGTTGGAGCAGAGGTCAGCAACCTTTTCCACATTTCACTAACGGGTGAAGAGTTTGGAGACGGCATGAGAAGTGAACGATCTAGGACAACATAGCTGAACTGGAAAGTGAGCTGAATTGGAGAATGTTTCCAAATCAGCAATGTTGTCCTGGATTGTTCACTTCTCCGGTCTTCTCCAATCTCCTAACCCTTCAGTAAATAACCCTGTATATGTCAAATTACAAGCAGAGTTGTACTGCTAATGGCAAGTTAAACTCAATATATCTAAGGCCCATGTTTACCCCATTTTTGGTAGTGTAAGGGATGGTTAAAACCACTGTCCTTTTTTCTGGGGGAGGGGGGTAGGGTTGATGTCATCTGTGTATCACTAGCAGGGCTTGAAAAATGTGATGGTGTCTCACCAGTCAGTCAAAAATTTCACCAGTCAGCATGACCGGACTATAGCCTTGCAATTTATGTTAACATTTTTTGGGGACAGATAGAGCTTTCTTTTGGAGGTATATAATAACCACTGGGGGG